AATGCCAATGGGGCCACTCAATAAGGGATCTTTCAAGAGAAGCCAAGGGCAGAGTGGTACCCTGGCTGCTAGGCAAGAAGTGCCCCCTCCCCAAGGTGTTGATGAGGTGCAGGAAGAGTTAGATCGAGAGGAAGAGAGGGAGCTAGAGGGAGAGTATGTGTAGACTCAGGAGCAGCCAGATCAAGCAGGCCCCAGCACTTCCACTCGACGATCTCTACGGGACATCATGCTTAGCATTGAAGCTAAGCAGGATGAGATCTTAAGACTTTTGAGGGGTGGTACTAGTGGTGCTAGTGGTACTGATGGAGTTGGGGGAGAGGATTGATCATTTCTGTTCTTGAGGGGGAGTAGATGATTTCTGAATAGGTTGTTAATTCTTCTTTGAATAGTCTTTAGGACATTTCTGTACTGTGTGGAAAAGTTTCTTTTGATAATTCTTATGGATGTTTTGTGAGTATTGTGGATAGTTGTGATATTTTGAATGGATGAATTGTATCATTGACATTACTGTAAACGAGTATCATTTATGCAATGAATGCTTCAATTTATCACTTTTATTTGTTTAAAATGCATGTATAGGGTTGGCACTCTAATTCTTATTCATAACGAAACACATGTGGATGTTAAGATTACTTGTGAAAATGACTAAGCACATGATCGGTTTGACACTTCAACTTAACACCCACGACTTAAAACCTTAATTTTTTGGAACATCGATGCTATCTTTATGCTTAAATTATCAAATGTACATAAGTATTTGTTATTCTTAAAGGAAAAGGGGATCAGACTCAAAAATGGAATCGTTATATAACTAACATTCCTTGAAACACCCAACATGCCCAGTGGAGATGACAAAGAAAACCAGGGTAAGTCTTGAGCTTTACAGTGCTTTTTGAGAGGACATAAAAAATTACTCAAAGTAAGCTCTTTCACTTCTAAATCTCTTTCAATAATCTCATTAAACTTGCTTTGATTGATGCAAATAAAGTGATCTATTTTCAGAACCCACGAGGAATTTTTGCATACACGTACATATGCACATACTTGAGAAAGAATCTTAGGCCATCTTTGGATCGACTTTGAGCCTTAGCTAATTCTTTCATAAAGTATATCCCTAGTTAGCCATGCTTGAGCCTTCAATGAATGAATTCTTTTTCGACAAAACCCGTGTGATGACCGAGCCACAAAAGCATTGATTTACCAAACCTTGCTATCTAATTTCTTGCACCCTCTTACAAATCAATATGATACAGAAATACAAGAAAAATAGAAAAGAAAAAGGTGGTCACTGTTCAATAACAGAAAAATCAATGAAAATAAAAGAAAAGATACAGTGAGACAGGGGATTGCCAAGAAAGTGAAAAAATGGGAAAAATGAAAGAAAGAAATCTCAACCCCAAGCAAAGTGTCGAAAAGTTATAAAGAGGTGTGCTTTACTGCATAAAAAGATAGCTTTTGATCACCTTGATGTCATTTCATTAGCCATTGACCTCTGGCCCCATTACAACCTACAAAAAGTCCTAGGTGATCTTAAGAGTGATGCATATGTATGTGATCTACTACAAGTGGGGTACGTTAACTAGAATTTCTTTATTTACATCAATATTTTTCCATGAGATTATGCCAAAGTAAAGTTTGTTTTCCTCAAAACTTCACTCTTATACTAATTATGCATGAGATTTTTCGACTGGCCATCTTCTGATCACATGCCCTTTTGAGATATATGTCACTATAATCAGAGCAATTTGTTTTGCTGAGAGCATTCCTAGAGAGACTTGTATAATCAAAGCTATCCATGCAAGGTGGAAAAAGGGAATGATTGTTATATACCAATTCTTGTTTCCAGTATGACCATCCTACTACTCAGAGAATCTCAAATGCTAATGCAACAGGTGCTAATTTTTGCATAAAGTGAGTACCAATGGAAGGAAAATGTAGGTGATAAGACATGATTGAGGGTTGAGTGTCCCAACGACCATGATGCTAATTGATTTTTTTTAGTCAGTAATCTTGCACACACATTTGTCCGACTGAAGTTTGTGGGTAGCTTCACTGAAAACCCTCACGAGACGAAATTCATCCACTAGGGTAAACCTAGTGGTTCAACGGCTTGTTACATAAGCTAAATGCAACCGGATGACCAACAAAAAAGGCATTAGGAATAGATTTACCTTTCACTGTCATTGTATTATTAGTGACTAGCAATATTTAGGTTGGGGGTGTGATTCGTGCATAAAGTTAACAAATTTTACTATGCCTTTTTTGATTAATTGTGCTTTGATGGAGTTTAAGTAGTGACATTTCAGGTCCTAAAGTGAACAAAGGCCCAAGAACAATAAAGATCACACTTAAATGTAACACCAGCACAAAAGGGAGCAAAAATGCAGAAGGTTGGAACAAAGCAAGGACATTCGAATGTCAACCCACGTTCGAACGTCATCTGAAACCCTGCCAAGACCAGCTGCTGAGACATGGCGTATTGCAGTCAACAAAGGGAAATGCTGAGGTACTTGAGTACCACGTTCGAACGCCACTCCACGTTTGAACATCCTTTGGAATCCTGAAAAGACTACACCGCTGGAACCTGGCATGTTGCAGTAATAAAGAAGAACCAGAAGTACTTAAGTACAACGTTCGAACGTCACTCCACGTTGAACGTTGTCTTGAGTGACCAAGGAGTTGCTGAGTGCACAGTCAATGATGTTCAAGGTGTATGGAAGTGACCAAGTCAGTGATCATAGGCCACTTGAGTGGAAGAAAGACTTGACGTTCGAACGCCCTCAATACAAAGGCAGACTTGAAGTTCGAACGCCAGATCACGTTCGAACGTCCCTTGCAGAATGCCTACAGAATAGTTGACTTCCATGGGCAGCAAATACTATTCACTCACCCTCCCCTTCCTTGCCTATAAATACTCCCTTGTTAGGAGCTTAAAGGGCATTCTTCCTCTTGTAGAGTAAATGGGGGAGCAATCTTTATTCTTGTAAGAATGTTTAGCAATCTAGTTCTTGAATACTTCATGTTTATGCTTTCATTTTCCATTTATGTCAACCATGTTGGAGGCTTAGACTCTCCTTGTAGTTGAAGTCTTTCATTTACTTATGCTAAGTCTTTACATTCATGTTGTGACAATCATGATGGAGGCTTAGACTCCCCCTGTAGTTGTACTTGCTTTTACTTACAAAGTATCAAGAGAGGTAGTTAATCTTTTGGTTGTGGTGGAAATCCTCCAAAAGCAACTAGCTTTCTTCTACTTTTCTTGTTCATGTATTTCACTTCCATTGCTTGAGCATCCTTCTTTCTTAGAAGAGTAAAACTCTTCCACTTTTCTAGAGCTTTATCAAAGCTGTGAAGGTTGGAACGTGATTCACTTATTCTTCGTTGAAGATTAGCTTTTCATTTATTGTATTCTCACTAAGTAGCTCCTCCACTAGGAAGGATGAGTATCACTCACTTGTCTAGCATGACCAAAGCCATGACGAGTGAGTAGTTCCTTATTCACTCTTTAGTAAGAGGTGATGAATATGTAAAGATTACCCAGAAGTTATGTTTGTGCAACTCCTTTATGCTTTAATGAATTATATTCCACTTGTTCATTGGATGATTGAATGTATCTAGAAAAGCTAAGGTACTTTGTATGACCAAAGGTTCCTTCTATGATACGAATGACTCCTGTATAGAAAGACCTAGTGGTTCAAGGCAAGCACCCCGGCTAGCCCTTCATGACATCTTTTCAGTCTCTAATATTATTGCGCTTTATTCAAAGAATAGACCATTAATGCCATGGTTGGAGACTTTGTAGAAACACTTGCTTGTTTGTAGATAGGTTAAGTCTCGGCACAGACAATTCTTGTAAACTTCTAGAAATGCATCAGAATTATGTGCTTAATCCTTACAGTCCATCTTTATCTTCTGATTAACTTTCTGTTGACACGGGAGTTAATTGAGTCATAAAGCACAAACATAATAAACTGGATAATCAATTACATGTTCTAATCCTCGAGCTAAAGGGTGGCTGTTACATTTTGAGAATCTTATATTTTGTCTAGAAAACTCTTGAAAAGAATTTTCTATTCTAATAAAAAAAACCCCACCTCTCTAAACACGCGAAATTTCCAAAAGTTACTTGGTCTTTATTACTGCTTACTTCAAAACACCAATCATAGCTTACTGTGGATTCGACTCTGGATTTCACCGGATTATTACTACAGCTTGACCGCTTACACTTGGGTGTACACATTTCAGATCAAGCCAACCATAATCCAACAAGGATGAGGACTCGTCTACCCCATAGTCTGAGACATCTTTAGAAGAAATAAAAAATCCATTCTCATCCTCCTCATCATTTAAATAAACCAAATTATATGCAGCAGAATCATAACCAGATGTAATCCTTGTTTTGGCATCATTGTTCTGATCAGGAGGATTGGCATCATTGTTTTGATCAAGAGGATTGGCTACATTGTTCTGATTAGAGGGTGTATCACATTATGTAGCATCATCTAAAGACAAATTATGTACCCCCTTATTCGAATCTCCACCTTCCTGCATTACTGTCTGGTCTTGCATGTCATGTCCATTGAATTCTTCATTGGAACATCTTTCTACGTTTTCGATTACCTTTGTACCTTGTTCTAAATTGAAACCTGCTGGATTCTCAGAATCTATCAGCTGCACACTTTCTTTGGAGGAATATACTTTCCATGCTGCAGTATATTGTCTTAAACGAATGATCACCTTTTCCAATCTTGTAAAAGATTTCTCTTTCTCCATGTCACCTATTGTAATGATCGAAGATATTTCCTTTCCAAAAGTGATTGTTGTTTCCTTTATTGGGTTATTGACTTGCTTAGGCTGCTGTTGTTTCTTCCCTCTCCACTACTGTGCTGGCTTTGAGTGCTCTAACTACGGCTGAGATTTGCCTTGATATGCTGTTTCCTTATTTGTTTTCCTAGAATTTGAATTTTGCTTTATTTCCTTCCCCTTAATTTGCTCTGCACTTGCCTCTACAGAATTCTTTCCATTGCTCTTGTCCTTAGTTTCCTTTTCGCCTACTGCTAATTCTGTGACTGGATTCTTTCCTTCTGAGACCATCAATTGCTCCATTGGTTTCTTCCTCCTGCATTCAATTTCCTCATGGCCCTGTTTCCTTCAACTTTTACAGAATTTCTTGTTCCTTTCATATACTATCTGCTGCCATCTTGCATCCTCAACTTCCATATCAATCCAAATTCTATTTGGATTATTGGCGAGTAGATTGACCTCCATGCATACCCTTGCTATCCCCGACCTGGACAACGAGAGTGTCACTTGATCATATGCCAAAACTTAGCCAATGGGTTTTACCAGCAAATCCAAAAATGGTTTCTTGAAAAAATTAAAAGGCAATCCAGGTAATGATATCCACATAGGCACAATGGATGGCTCAATCCCTGATATGAAAGTAGGAAACCATTTAAAGAATCTAAATAAATAATCCTCTATGATAGTAGCATCTTTCAACCCGTCTTCACATAATCCTCCTGTTTTTCAAAACGTATCAACACGTGCCTTGGATCTATTGAACCAATTTCAAATTCACCTCTCAAACCCTATTTAGACTTTATCGCCTCTCTAATCACGCCTAGACTTGGTCTACCATAGACACAGTTGCCTATTAATGCATATTGCAGAGGCAAGATTGTTTGATCTCCTCATTAGTGAAGTAAAAAGCAGGCTCCCCCTCATAAAATACAATAGGTTTCTAAATCTTGGGCACTGGTTCTTCCACTAACACTGGTTTGGATGTTTGCTTGAAGAAAGAAGCATACACAGACTGTGTTTATGGTAGATTAATAGGTTGTAAATTGGGTGGCTTTGGTGGAATATTGGATGAACTTGGTGAGTCACTCATGAGTCTCTCCACTTCAATTCAACTCTCAGGTCTAATCTAGCACACATATGTACCACCATTATCTACATTGTTCCCCATAATCAAGATGCCAAGAATTTGAATTGGGCACCCATATAACATTTGGGATAATGTATAAAGTGGTTGACTAAGATACAAAAGAATAATACAAACTTTTAACGCTATATTGAGCAATGTATAAGTACATTCCATTACCAAAAAAGAAATGTAACACATATACTTGTGAGTTCATGAATTGTAAATAATCTAGAGAAAAAATAATAAGTTTATGAATAAATCCCTCATTACGATGTAAAATGATCTCTTTGATGCTCCTTCCACACGCAAACAAAGCTTAACAAGTTCAAACATACCGAACAATTTTAGAAATCCTACATATCATAGTTGGAAAATCACTCGAATATGTCACCTATACTACTAGCATCCTACTGATACAAGAACTTCAGTAGTATCCTACATCCAACACTATTAGCATCCTACATCCTAAGGATAGCCTTTCGATGGTTACACTCACTGCTCATTTATTACACCTACACTACTACCATCCTATTGGCTCGAATCATGCATAAGAACTTAAACCCTCCATGGTGCATTTTTGAGGTGTTCACTACATTTCATACATAGGCATCATGAAAGATCCCACATTTCATCACTTGTGTTAGCATGTTTATTATTCTCTCACATGTAGAAATGTCGCTTTAGTTGTTCTAATTTTTTTTGTCTCTTATCTATGGATGCAGAACCTCATCGACTTGGTTGATTATGATATTTCGAAGGCTTAAACTACAATTGTGTGACAAAAAGAAGGATCATGAATCAATAACAATCTGTAACTCTTGGAGCTGTGAGGTGTCAATCCTTTTCATTGTGTTATCAGTGTAATATTTTTTCTCAACTAATGTCAAAAAAAATGATTCATGTGCAACGTATGTGTGTAACAACTAGTATATATATATATATATATATATATATATATATATATATATATGGATGATGGTGTTTTTTTGTTGGGGTGGTTTTTGGCAAAATTTGTAACCAATGAAAGAACACAAATTAGAAAAACCCAACTGAAATTCATCCCTAATTTGCACAAAAATTAAAAATAAACAAAACCCAAGTGAAATTTAGATCCATTGATATGAAGAATGATGTTTGGATGGGGAGAAAAAGAAAAGAACCCAGAAAATAAAGCTTCATTTTGGCCAAAAATTACGTTTTGGTGACTAAAAAAAATAAATAGACTGCACTGAAAATGGAAAAAAAAAATCAGACTAGGCAAATTCTTAAGAAGTTAAGTTGTATTTTTAAAGAAGATGATGTTGGGATGGTGAGAAAAGGAGAGAGAGAAAAAAAATACAAGAAAGCACATTTTTGCTTTTATCTCTGGTTATTCTTTAGTAACAATGCAAGAAAGAGAGGGAGAGAGAGAGGAAATATGGACGGAGAGATTCCGATGGGACAAAGTTGGATACTGGTGTTTTTTGGACAAAAAGGTTAAGGGGTAGAATGGCCAAAATAACTTAAATAATGTTAACCCTTAGGAGTGGTTCAGTGGTTGAGCTTGACCTTTGGTAATGTAGAGGTCTCAGGTTCAATCCATCCTCACACTCCTTAAGGATTAGCCACCTTTGTTCCTTTAAGGACATGCTCTAACTCAGCTCAAATCACAGTGGCCAGCTCTTTAACTTAAGAGAGTAGTTTACGCAAGCTTGGACACTTGTAGCCAAAAAAAACTAAATAATGTTTTTAACATCACTTATGTCCATGGGCTCCTTGGAAGTGAAAAATTACTTACCAAACATTGTGTATGACATATATCCAACCCAACGCAAGTGTTGGGTGGGTTAGGTGTGGATGAGAATGAACATAAATTTGATATCTTATCCAATCCTTTTCGGATATCCAAACATGCCCTTAGGGTGCAATCTAAGCGAGTGTATCCGAATCTAAATCGAGTTCAATCCAAAAAAAAATCTGGAAAAAAATCTACAAGCACCGTCAGACAGTAGGTGGCCACCAGTTGCACCACCTCAGTGTGGTATACGTATTCCATGGCAGATGATGACGACACAAGCCGCTGGACATACTTCCTCATCCGCCATGGATACTGCTCCCACCTCATCATATGTAGACCCGCTATCTTCATCTGGTCCCTAAACCACTGGAGTGTGTCCACCACCTACACCAGATGTCCCCGTTGTTGATCATGACACTCCACCACTTGTTGACCTTCCCTTACAGACACATACAATTACATCGATTTTTTCCATCATTGACCTCCCATACGTGCCTATATCGACATCACCACACACACCTTCACACGAGGAAGTTGAGACAGGAGATGTAACACATTTAGATTCCTAGGTAGGTATACCATTGCCATATGTGCCTTGTATTACATTGACGCTCCATGAGCCTTCCTCTCTTATTCCATATGAGGACTTTTTCGGAGATGATGAGGGTCATGTTGAGGGAGTGATTTAGAAGCCATCATTTTTGCACAGAGGGTGAGCCAAAGAGGGGCCTAGAGCATGAGATGGGTGTGGACTTAGGAGTTATGGGCACATGCACATAATCCTGTAGATGATAGAATGTCTCAGGAGATGCCAGATCCTCCTGAGTGACAACAACCCAAGCGATAGAGGCCACCACCATGTGGGATGTAGTCTATTTTTGTTAACTTTAGTTTGTATTTTATATCATGTTGTATTTAACAAAGTTTTTATCATATTTACTTTTACGTTAGTTACATTACTCCATTGTCAAATAGAAATCCAATATTGTTTGTAACAAATTTAAATCAACTTCACCACAATTTAATTAATATAAACAAACTACCCTAACTTTGTAACAACACATTTAATATAAACATAAGAAACTAACATAATGTAAATAGATGACAATATTGTCCAGATGTTACAACACAATAGTAACATAACACTTATTCATGATTCATGTGTGATGCCCCTAAAATCGGGGGTCATATATTAACCGTTGACCAACCGTCAACCGGCGGAAATATCTGTGATAGTCGCATAACTCGACTTTACGCTAATAACATCCCCTTTTTCGGGATTTTGAACCACACGTAAAACCTATGTTCATTTTATCCTTTGATTCAACCGTGGTACAATGTACCACAATTCATACTCCATTATAGTCCATTTATATCCTTGGAATCCAAGAACCCAAAGCCCAAAAGCTTGACAAACTAGTTTTAAATTTTCAAAATTTTGGAAAGAGTATCGGTACTAAGTATCGGTACTATGAGCCTTTTGGAAAATCAGTACTGGTACGCAGTACCGGTACTCTTTGCCTTCTGGACCAGACTGTACCGGTACTGTCAACATCTGTACCTAACTCACTGGACCCCGTGGTACCAGTACTCATTGCCCACTTTTGCCCATTTCACCTACTTCTCATTTCCAATCTATTCAAAACCATTCCAATACCATCTAAAACATGTATAATGATGTTTATCACATAAAACTTGATATGTACAAGTTCTATTACAATCCATTTATACGATTAGATGCTCACAAACATAATTTTTTTACAAAAATTACACAAAATGTGCAATAAAAACCACAAGTCGGCTTTTCTTCATATTTGAGGCCCTGAATGCGAGCCATCCGCAGGAATGTATCCCGCACCTGAAATGTTTTCCCGTATAGGGTGAGCCATGCTCAGTAAAGTATTTCCTACAGAGGCTACCCCCTTAAATGCATATGAAATGAGCACATGCAACAATCAACAATCATAATCCATTCCATACAAGAACGTGTCATTCAAGATGAAAATTTTTATCATGCCATGTCATGATATGAGATGACACTCACTCATGCACTTTAAACCCGAGTCCTCATTAACTCATACATCACAAGGCAATGCACATGTGAAGTAAATCTATCATTGATGAATTTTATCCAATGATCATTTTGAAATAAAGGTCATGTGTTTATAAAACCATATCTTGTTGGATGATACACATCGAATGACCATTTGTAAAACAAAATCATGTGTCTTTGTTGGGTATCGAATTCTAGAATCACACCGCTGGCTCCGTACGCCATTACACTTTTATGAAATTTCACCACTGGAGAGTGTATGAACCAAGTAGCCGGGTTTTTCAGCCGAGGGAGGATCTATCCCTTCTTGCTATACCCAACACAAAATTTTTTTTCATGCAACCATGCGACTCAGTTAGATCTTTGATCCAACTTTCCCGAGCCTATCATCAATCACCAATTATGATGATTAATCCAACCATGCACACACACACCCATACTCATGGCCTTGGATGTATTTTCCCCGTGCAAATGCAATGTAGTGCATCATTGCAATATCAATGCCATGCTTCATATGTAATGAATGTCATATGAGCTAATTTAACCACATATTTCAACATATGTCATGACAATTATATCAATTGTATATAATTACCATAAATTATCATGATGTTAATGTATTAACAACATATGTCTACTCATTCATCCTCAACAAAATTCACAATCATGTTATACAAAATCCATGCCATAACCAACTTAATTCCATATAGTCATTTAGCAAAACACCTTTAAGGCAAACAATTCATGTTATCACATAAATTGGTCCACATCATTCACAAGGCACAATGACAACATATATCAAGTTCCAAAGAATTTCACAAATAAATTCCTTATACCAAATTTAACTAGGAATTAGTCTAGGCAAATTCCATACCCTTTTTCCTCATTTCTATAACCATAGTCAAGCAACCTAGGTTATTATATACCCTTTACCCATTTCATAGGACATTCTAGGTAAGAATGAACCAAAGTAAGAGGAACCCTACCTCTTGGAGCGTAAATGAAAGGGAGAAAGCTTCAAGACACCTCCCTAGCTCCAAAACCTTTGATTTCACAAAATCCTCTCCTTGGATCTTTGGTGAAATTCTTTGTTGTTGGTACGTAGAAGTAGCCCTCGTCGCGGTGACCAACTTTAACTCTTGGTCCAAGTGATTTCGACCGACGAAACTTCGTGAATCGAAGGAAGAAAGGTAGAAATCTCTTTTTCTTTTCTCTCTCTTTCTCTTCCAACGTATGAATCAGCTGAACATTGGGGAAAAATCATATATTTTTCCTTATTTATAGTCTTTAATTGTGCGGTCCACATCGCGCTGCATGTTTCTTATTTTCGGGTCCGTTTTTGTCCTGAAACGACTTAATTCTGTCCTGGTTTAAGTTCAAATTAATTTTATTTGAAATTTGCTTCAATTATAAGGAAATTTTATAAATTTCATTTTTGGGGACGTTTGTGAGTTCATTCAATCCCCATTTGTCTCGTAAAGCGTAAAAAATTTGACTATCTCGAAATTCAATGAAAATTAATTGGACAACTCGATTTTGCGACACGAATCCAACGGTGAGGTCCATTGCATCATCCGAGTTCTAGAAAAATACGAATTTTAATCCCGTATTTTAGTGGCAATTTACCATTTTTCGGAAAAAAATTTCAAATTTACCCGGATTTTACATTCTTCCCCCCTTAAAAGAATTTTGTCCCCGAATTCACACACACATACACACTTAACCGCATGCATATACA